ACACTAACATATATATATATATATATATATATATATATATTTGTAACGGAGCACTCCTTCCCACCGCTCCGTTCCTCCTTCGATTTCCCCCGACCGACCACCCGTCGGGGACCGCCGAACATCAAGCGGAGTGTGGCAGTGGCCGCAAGAGGCATTTATGCCTCCCTTTTTTTTAAACTTCTACATTCGAATTCCGAAGCGTTGGAGCAGAGCACGGGAATACCGCGTAAATATGATTATTTTCGTGATATTCTCCCGGGCCGCACCACGCGCTGCGTCAACAAGCGCTAGCGTGCCTCGCATTTCGTATTTATTAATATATTTCCTTTAATTTTAACGATTTTAAATTTATTATTATTTATTTATCTTTTTTATTTATCTTTTTTTCGCTATTTATCTTTTTTAACACAAAAGCAAAAATTAATATAATACTATTATATTATTGTTATACTATAATACAGTGCTCGGAATTAGTTGCCCTTTTCGGTCCGATTTCGAAGGCGACGCCTACTGTCCCCCCACTATCGCTCGAAGCTCGACAGCCGAGCCGTCGCACGCTCTCAAGGTCTGTTCTATATATGTCCACCGACAACTGTCGGCGTCATTAATTAACGATAGCCAATGGCAAGAATGATCTTGGAAAAAAGCACGCTGTCATTGGCTGTCATTGGCTGTCGTTGGCTGTCATTAGTTAACGTACCGCTGTCATTGGCTGTCGTTAGTTAACGTATCGATAATTGTCGATAAGCGAGTACAGAATCCCGGCCCAGGAACGTTTCATTTTAAAAATGCGCCCAAATTGTTAAATGCATTTTTAAATCGTTGCATTTTAAATTGTTGCATAATTTAATAAAGAATGATTTGATAAAATTGATTTAATAATAGTTTGGCGGAAATGATGCATTTTTAATATAAGATATTCTTGAGATATAAGGCTACAGCGGCGTGGCCACAGTATAAGTAGATATAATAGCTTCACTCTGCTCAATATCCATGAATGGTTGTCACTCGCGCATGATGGAAATGCACACCCAACAATATGACAGTTCAAAAAAATTGTGTATAACCTTAGTAACTTTAGTAACCTTAGTAATCTTAGTAACTGTAGTATAACCACAGTAAATTTACATAAACATGAATAAAAGAAGTGGATATCGATGTTTATTTAATAATTGTGAAAGTACAAGTACTGAACGAAGAAAAAAAGAAACACTATTTAGATTTTCAAAAGATACAAAAAGATATTATTCATTGTATTGTTTAAACTATAATATTTATTTTAACATAATTAAAAAGTTAGATCTAGTTTACATTTCTTGTTACTTATGAAAAATGAATTAATTTGTACTCTGCTGATTTATAATTACATAATCCAAAATGTAAAAAAAACATGGATATAAAAATTGTGCTTAAGGTCAAAATTATGGATTAGAGCTTGTCATAGAGACGACTTATTGTTAAAAACACCTACTGAATTATATAATAATTATAAAATGTGCAAATTGCATTTTAAGAAGTATATGTTTCTCAATTACGAACAAACAAGATTGCAACCACATGCTATTCCAAGTTCTATCTTGATAAGCGATAGTAAGTTTGTTTACACTAATAAAATAATTTTACATACTAAATCAACAAAACATATTTGAAATTTCTAATTATAGATAATGAAGAAATTGAAAATATTAATATAATAGAACCTGAAAAAATAATTGAAGTAAATACAATTAATCTTTTAAGTAAATTATATATATATATTTTATATTATTTATTTTATGTTTGACAAAATTATATATATATTTTGTATTATTTAAATTTAAGATATCAAAAAAATATTAAAGTAAAGCATATTTTATTTTTAGAAGAAGATACAACACAAAATGAAACAAGCGAAGTATTATTAGACACAGAGCCATCAATATCAATGTTATCTTCGATTGAAACACAAACAGAAATAACATATTCATCTTCAGTAGGAACACAAATATCATTATCATTATCTGCAAATTCTCCAAAGGTTTATCTATATCGAAATATACAAAAATATAAAAAGCAAACAGCTACTTTGGAATTAACAAGTCATCAAAAGGATAAGGAAGAAGATATTAACATTTATTCACACAGCTGGATAAATTTTATCCAAAAAAAATGTCGGATTTCTTGAAACAACAAGCACTTTTATTACAAAAAACGCAAAAGATAGAAGATATACTGCTGCATTCAGCATTGCTTATCTTTATATTTTTCTAGTCCAAAAGCGTACATAGATTTAATAAATAAGTCATTTTATCTATCTAGCTGTAGTACTTTGCAGCAATTTATTAGAAAGTGTTATATAGATGCAGAATTGCAAGATAACATATTTGAATTGTTAAAAATGAAGACTGATACATTTGAAGGCATTAACAAATATTGTGTAATTTGTATCGATGAGATGTCCTTAAAGGCACATTTATTTTATATTATATCAAGAGATAGAGTAATAGGATTTGAAACAAAGAATTTAAATTCAGATAATTCTACATTGTTACCAATTTCTAATATAGCAGTTATGATGGTTAAAGGTATTTGTGAGTCATGGAAACAACCTCTTAGTTATTTTTTTTTACATTCTACAATGAAGGCATCAGATTTAATAGAAATAGTTAAAGAAGCAGTACGGAAATTAAAAACTATTAATTTATTAGGTGTAGGTGGCTTCCCGCCCTTTTGCGGTTTTAAAGCATTGACATTTGGCCTTCTAAAATGCTATACGGTTTGGCGTTTGATGCACATAACCTCAAAAATCAATAGTGTTCACGATGGCAATAACAAAAGAGCATATTCGATTTTCCATCCACTTCGCGTTTCATCTGAAGAAAAATGCTGCTGAAGCCACTGCAATGATTTGTGTTGCATATGGAGAGAACGCTGTAAGTCATACTACATGTAAAAGATGGTATCAAAAATTTCGCCAAGGAGATTTCAGTCTTGAAGATGAACCGCGTGCTGGACGCCCTCAAAAGATTGAAACGGACGAATTGCAAGCACTGCTGGATATAAACTCTGCGCAAACTGAAAAGGAGCTTGCAGAACAGCTTGGCGTTACGCAGCAAACCATTTCCGTACGTTTACATACGATGGGAAAGGTTCAGAAGGAAGGCAGATGGGTTCCGCATGAATTGTCCGAAAACAACAAAAATCGTCGGCGTGACACTGCACTCACTTTGCTTTCAAAGTTCCGGAAAAAAGATTTTCTGTACAAAATCATTACAGGCGATGAAAAGTGGATTCTTTATGATAATCCTAAACGTAGAAAATCATGAGTTGACCCTGGTCAACCTTCAACATTGACGCCAAAGCCCAATACCCATGCCAAGAAGGTTTTGCTCTGTATCTGGTAGGATTGGAAAGGTGTGTTGTATTACGAGTTGTTACAACCGGGTGAAACAATCACGGCAGACCGCTACCAACAACAATTGACCAATTTGAGCGATGCATTAGAAGAAAAGAGGTCATTTACTGGCCAAGGACGTCGTAAAGTGATCTTGCTTCATGACAATGCTCGACCATATGTTGCGAAAGCGACTCAGGACCATATTTTTGCGTTAGGCTGGGAACTTCTCCCGCACGCGGCGTATAGCCCAGACATGACGCCTTCCGATTACTACCTATTCCGGTCGCTGCAGCATCATTTGGCTGATACACATTTCGTGAGATTTGAAGGGACGAAAATGCATTGATGACTTTATCGCTTCGAAGCCGATGAACTTCTATCGTCAAGGAATTCGCAAGCTACCCGAAAGATGGCAAAAGGTCGTTGATGCAAATGGGGAATTTCGCTGATTAATATTTTTTTGTTTGTTTTTGAATAAAGATTGAATTTTACAAAAAAAGCTCAAAATTTTTTTGTACACCTAATAAAAGTCATTGCTTTGATTACAGATATGGGTTCAAATTTTTATAAATTATTTCAATTATTGAATATAAACATGGAAATGCCATATTTTAAAGTTGATGAAGATAAAATATATTATATTTGACTCCCCATATTTGATGAAAGCAATTAGAAATAATTTTTACCGCCATAGTTTTGTATTTAATGATAAATATACATCGTGGAAATATATTGAAAAATTGTATGAAATTAATAAAAAAGCTCAATTTAGAGCTCCAAAGTTGACAAATGCACATATTAAACTTAATAATTTTCAAAAAGTGAAGGTAAAAATTGCAACACAAGTATTAAGCAGATCCGTTGCAGCTAGTATGAATGTACAAATTACATTAGGTTTATTATCTGAAGAAGCTGTATATACAGTAGAGTTCATAGAACATTTTAATAAATTATTTGATATTTTCAATTCTTCTACACGTTATAATAGTGATCCTAATAAAACAGCATTTATAAATTCATATGAACAAGTTTCATTTCTCAATGAAATGAAAGAATTTTTGCAATATATAAAAGTAATAAACAAAGATGGTAAAGATATAACCAGCTCAATTAAATCATTAAAATGTTGAATAATTTCAATTAATGCGCTTCAGATATGGAGTCACTTATAACAATCCTCAACTCCTCTTCAATATTTATTAACTAGGAGACTTAATCAAGATACATTAGAAAATTTTTTTGGAATGTATGCAATCAAAGTGGAAATTCGTTTAATCCTACAGCGATACAATTTTATTTTGCTTTTAAAAAGTTATTTTCCATCGATTATAATAAAATAAATACAGGAAATTCTGCAATTGATACAAATTCTATATTATTTAGATATAAAGACTATGACAAAACAAGACATATGATATTTGAAACATCACAGCTAATGTAAATATAAATAATTACGAGTATCATAGTATGTCAGTTATAGAGGAAAATGTATTTACTTACATTTGTGGATATCTATTACGGCATATTTTTATCAAATATTATTATGATGTATGTGCATCATTAGCAGTAAAAGTGATTTATAATTAGTTAATTTATATTCTTATTTTAAAATATACAAAAGTACAGACACAAATAACTTTGAAAATTTATATATACCAAGCATAGTATTTATTAACTACATTAAAGAGTTACATATGAAATTTTCTGAAAAGTATAATGTTTTTATTACTAAGCCAAATGTTATGCAAAATGTTTTAAGCGTTTTACCCACTGTGGAATTTTTACATTCTTATCCAGATTTTCCACAAAACTATTTAATAAATCTTTATATTAGAATAAGGATATTACATTCTAAACAATACATAGATATAAGCCGAGTAACTAACAAATTACAACGCGAAACATGGCATTTCCTCGACAAGCAAGATCTTGGTTGCTAAAGTCTTTTTAATATGAAATAAATTCAATTAATTATATTATCCATCACGTGCCGCTTTGGTTTAGCAGACTTTCAACGTAGTAGTTCTATAATAATTCGATGATCAATATTATTGATATCGATTAAAATCCCCCCCCCCCTTTTTTTATTATCCCCTCCATCAGAAATATATATTGCGAAAAATATCACCTCAACCAGAGATCGAACCTGGATCTCCTACTTTCCGGGCAGGCATCTTATCCATTAGACCACTGAGGCTATGATAATATTTATCGCAATGTTCAGATAAATAGTATGTACGCATCTTTTTCAGCCAACGCGG